CACAGCACTCTACCCAGGGTGACAGCTTGAGACTCTGTCTCAAAAGAAAAAAAAAAGAAGCCAAAATGAGAGGATCACTTGAAGCCAAGAGTTTGAGACCAGCCTGGGCAACAGAGCAAGACCTTATCTCTACAAAAAACATTAAAAACTTAAAAAAAAATTACTTTCTGAGAATATGTTGTATGATCAAAGACAAATTATCGTCTTTGGAGTCAGATTAACTTAAAAAGTATTGTGTCCTGTCTGCAATGTTGTCTGTCACTTGTCTGTGTCCCCCACCCACAGGTATCAGCATGGGGAGTGTTTCAGTCTGTTTATACCACCAGAGACAAACACAAAGTCTGATTCCTTGAAGAAACACATTAAAAGAACAAATATAAAATCGACTGCAATGACTTTATTTTAGTGGCTTTCCAACCCCCACCAAAGGGTCTCGTTAGACAGAGCTGGCACTCAGTCAGCCGGTGGAGTCCTAATTACTTGATTCTGTTTTGTAGATCACAGAGGTTACTTCCAATGATTTCCTCTTCCATTTCCTCAAATCAGCTTATACATTCTGAAAGTATATCCATTACTCTCTAATACCTAGAAATAAATTTGAAAGGGTACATTCAAATTAGGAGCAGGTTCTAGCTATACACATTGATGACAAGGTCAAGAGAGATAGTCTTTTGTGCACTGATAGGAAAAAAATGAAATAGAATTTTTAATGAAGTATAGTAGGCTTAAATACTAGACAATAAATAACATCTGTAGAAAGGAAGGAAGAGAGCAGGATTAAGTTTATAACCAGAACTGATGTTCTTCTGGTTATTGAATTAGACTCCTTCTTAGTTATTTCAAAGACTGATGATACCATGTTTTAAAATCTTGGGCTTCTCTTCAGTCTAGACCCCTGGTTCTCAACCTTCTTAATGCCCCGGTCCTTTAATACAGTTCCTGTGGGTTGCAACCCACAGGTTGAGAACTGCTGGTCTAGACTATTTAGGCAAGAAATTATTTATTTATTGAGACGGAGTCTCACTATGTTGCCCTCGGTAGAGTGCCATGGCATCACAGCTCAGAGCAACCTCAAACTCTTGGGCTTAAACGATTCTCTTGCCTCAGCCTCCCAAGTAGCTGGGACTATAGGTGCCCACCACAACACCTGGCTATTTTTCGGTTGCAGCTATCATTGTTGTTTAGCAGGCCCAGGCCAGGCTCGAACCCACCAGCCGTGATGTATGTGGCTGGTGCCCTAGTCACTGAACTATAGGCACTGAGTCTAGGCAAGAAATTCTTATGCTAGACTATTCATTAGCCACACTTGTAGAAAACAGATGTTACAGCACTTTGCTCTAACTCCATTTGACCTAAGAGCCCAACTAAGCACTCTACTGGGAAGGGTTCCACCTGACATTTGGTCTTTCTGTTCTATTCTCCATGCTAGTTTGGATCACTCTAAAATTGACTGACTACTGGCAACTGTGCCATTAGCCATTGATAGCCCAAATTCAGGACAGGCTCATTTTTAACTCTACAAAATATATTACAGGTCAGACACACACATTCTCAAGCTTGAGGAGTTCTCAGTGTAAGCAATTAAAGTGTAAAGGGTGAGATTAAGTACTTACCTGGGACCATAACATCTTCCTTATTCACCCTCCTCCTCTTCTCCCACAGAGCTGAGAACAAATATGAGAAATAACAGGCAGCTAGGCTTAGAAAAAAAATAGGTATGAAATAGAAGCACTTGGAGAAATGCAGAAACTGAAGTCATTTGTTCTGCTGAAGGATTGGATACAATTTAACAAAAAAAGAAGAGCAAAGTAGTTTAGAGGCCACAGCTGAGACAGAGTTAATGACAGTATGTGCTGGCTTTTCTCCCAGGATGGGTGATCCTGAAGGTGGCAAGAATCCTGCTGGCTTGCTGAGGAACAGAATGACTGCCTTTCATGATAGCAGGAGCTGATTCTGGGCATTTACATGGTTAGTCTGAAACTCCCTGCCCAGGACCCCTTTTGTCTGATGATGGGTGCCCTAGAATTCTTGATCTTCCGGACCCAAACCTAATATAAAATTATTAAAGTAGGAGCTATGAAGGTAGTTAACAAAATTTAATAAGAGCCCTAGGAGAGAAAAAGGGTAAACTACAGGATGAAAATGTTTTAAATAAATGACTGAGAGAACTTCCAGAATTATAGATGAAGAGTCTCAGATTATGTACACAGCTCAAGCAGTTCTTAGGAGGAAACCTCTAGCTTTAAAAATATTAATCAGGCTGGGCACAGTGGCTCACACCTGTAATCCTAGCACTCTGGCAAGCTAAGGTGGGTGGATGGCTTGAGTTCACAAGACCAGCCTGAATTATTAAGAAGAATAACCAGGTGTTGTGGTGGGTACTCGTAGTCTCAGTTACTGAGGAGGCTGAGACAAGAGGATCACTTGAGCCCAAGAGTTTGAGGCTGCTGTGAGCTATGACATCACAGCACTCTACCAAGAGTGACAAAGTGAGACACTGTCTCAAAAAAAAATAAAAAAATTAATGGCTTGGCACCCATAGCACAGTGGTTATGGCAAAATAAGTTAATTTAAAACTATTTCTAAGCCATGAGGCCATAATGATACTCAAAGAGGAAGGAGGAGAAAGTTCTTTATTATAGTAGAATGACAGGTAATAAATGAATAAGGACTGATAACATTTTGCAACCCTCAATGATTTCCAGGTAATGGACAACAAAAGGATGCTCAATTCTTCAGGTAAACAGTTTTTGAGAAGGGGCATGATAGTCACATTTGTCAAAGTGTCACTCTACAGAGTAGTTAAAACTTTCAGGCTCGGCGCCTATAGCTCAA